AGTTTTAATCTAAACCCCAAGCTTATTCCTGACTTCCAGCTTGGTTTAGCAGAGACATAACACTGCTGGTGTGGAAGAGGTTGATTCAGAATCCAGAGCTGTCTGGGAATTGCTGAGTTAGAGAGGGAAGAAAAAGAGAAGACATCTAGGGATAGTAGCTTGATGTAGCTCGATGGTAGATGTGGCACTTGAGGACGTGGTTTAGGGGTGGGTTTGGCAGGGCTGGGTTGACATTAGGACTCAGTGGTCTTAAAGGTCTTTTCCAACCTAAAGAATTCCATGGTGGGTCGGTGTCGCTGTGAAACTCCACCAAGTGACTTGGATTTGGGAAGGTGGTTTCTCTAGGGTTTCTCTAGAAACCCTAGAGGTGGTGGTGGAAGGAGAAGTGAGGTCAGGGAGGGCCAGCTTGGTCACAGCCCAGATTGGGCCACCACGTTGGCCGAGGTGAGCCAGGCTTAGCCCCGTCCTTGCCTCCCTGTGATGGAGCTTGTACCCTGATAATTGCAACGAAAGCAGCAATCAGGTTGGTAATTTTGCTGAGCTCTTTTCAGTTCTAATTAACATTATTCATTTCTTGTGTGTCCTGCTGGGTTGAGACAATCTGTGCTCTCCAGCCCAGCCCTCTGGAACACCAGCAATCTGCATAAGAGGCAACAAAAAAAAAAAAGTGTTGTGTGCCAATTACTACACTTCAGTAATTAAAAACCTCCTTCCCCCCACTGCCAGCCTACCTCCCCTCCCGTCATTTGCTGTGTGCAAACTCATGAAAGCAAGGAGAGGAATTCAGAAGGGCATGTCACTGCTGGCATGTGCCATCTGTGTCTGTGCTGGCGGTGCAGGGAGGTACCGGGGGCTGGATGAGGGATGGGTGGGATCAGTGGTCAGGGCTCTCATGTTCAGCACCCTGTTGCTTATTTATTCCAGATATTTGATGGTGAGGCTGTTTCGTCCCCAGCAAGGGCTTTGCTGGCGTTTTCATCCCTGCTCATCTTTGTGCTCGTGTCACCTGAGGTGGCAGAATCCTTATGGCACTGCTTTCCCTCTTCCAATGTGAGTGGTGTCCCTGCAGCCAGGGCTGTTGGCTGCACCCGTGGGACCCTTTGGCTGGGCAACCTCAGCCCTTCAGGCTGTGGGGGTGATGGTTTGGGGGAGAGCAGCCAGTCCCTAATGGATCAACTTGGTAAAAGAAGGTGGATAACAAAGCCAAGAAGTTTTGGCTGTGGGAGATATTGATGGATTTGGAAAGGGCAGCACTACCGTTTGCACCCACCACATGTCACTGAGCTGGGAGAGTGGGGAAAAGGCAGGAACAGGCAGGTTGGGACAGGTAGGGAGGATGTAGACAGGCAGCTCTTGCCTTTTGGCAGTGCATTTAACTCTTAAAATGCCCAAATTTGTGGTCATTTGGAGTTTCCCTCATGGCAGCAGGGGGCAGAGGTCTGGTGCAGCGTGAGGAGCTGCATCTGTCTGCCAACCATCCCAGCCTGCCCCTGGGATGATGCAGCAGTGGTGAGTTAGCCGTGTTCCATCTCCCAGAGGAGAAGCCCTGAGGCTTGAGGCTCTGGACTTACTGGGAAAGAAACGGCAGAGAGAGGGAGCAGTACCCAGAGCAGTATCAGCTCCTCCTTGTGCTGGCTCACAGCAGTTTTTCATTTTCCTGGAGGAGAAGTCCTTGCCATCTGAGCGGGAATGAAACAAGGATTAAGGATCTTGAGAGAGAAAATTACCTCATCTGTGCTTAATTGTTTTTAGATCATCTTTTTGGAGGCGAGCGCTGTTTTCCGGCACCCCGAGGACCTCTCCCTTCCCTCCCTCCCTCCCTGGCACGTGGTGGGGCGAGAGGGAAAGTGGGAACTTCCATGGAGGCGGAGGAGGCATCCCGGGACTTTGTACCTTGCCAGGAGCGGGGTGGGAAGGGGGAAGGCCACGGGCTCAGCGGTGTCTCTGCTCTCCACCTGCGCCTGGAGCGTGGCTTCCCAGCCAAAGCCAAGGGCTTTCCGCTCGGCTGCCTGCGTGGGGGAGAGGAGGGCTTCCCATCCCTGTGCTGGGCTGCCGGAGAGAGGAGCTGCTGGAGGAGGGAAAGGGGAGCAGATGGAGGGGCTGGAAGAGCACTGGGTCGCTGTGACCAGCCTTGGCCACGGGGATCCCGACGGGCGCCCGTGCGAGGAGGAGCAGGTTGAACACAGCACTCGGGCAGGAGCACAACCTGCCACCCCCTGAACAGCCCAGCACAGCCAGAGGTCAAAGCACTTCTTTCCCAGGACCTGTTTCTATACTTTATTTTATATATATATATATATATATATATATATAGGCTCAGGAGCCTTAAGAGGCAAGGAAGAATATAAAATAGCGGCTTGAAGCTCGCCGATGGCAGGGACAGGGAAGCGTGGCTGGGTGATAAGCAGAGATTGTGCCTGAGTGCTGTGAAGGGCAAAAGCACTTATTTCACTGTTGCCTCATGCGTTACCTGAGCCCCGCTGCTTTTCAAAGGCACTTAAATGCCCATATGATAGAGGGAATGCTTGGATTGCACACTGTCTGGCTCCATTATTATCCAAGGATCTCCAAGCTGATGCATTTCATAAAGAAGGCTGGCGTGGAGGAGGAGAGAGGAAATATATAGTTTTAGTTCAGCCTGCTTACAGGTCCTCAAGGGTAATGTCTGCAGAAGGGGCTGGCCTGAGAAATTCAAGCCACGTCTGGTTTGTCATCACCCAGCCCTGGACACCCCTGTGTTTGTGCAGAAGAACCACCACAGGAGCCTATTTCATGGTACCAGAGCCAAACACCAAATATCCAATTCATTTTATTCGTGCCCCATAGGTCTGAGCTACCAGCAGAGCTGAGGTTTGGAGTTCAATAGACTAAACCCATCCTCTGGGAAGAAATTTCTAGTTTAATTCAACTTGAGCAACTAAACTCTCAGGTTTTTTACTCAGGTTGTAATGCAGCTGAGAGCAAGAGCCAAGTTCTTGGTGTTCAGCCCAGGCTGAATCTATTGCTATTTTTTATGTAGATCATAAAAATCTGCTCACATTTAATTTATTATTATCGTAATATCATCATGGAACAGCAGTAAAATTGTTTAATTTATCAGATGTTTTTCACACCAGAGGGGGAGGATGGCACAGGAACTGGGTACTGGCAAATCAGGGGTGTCCTGGGCTGCAGACAACCCCTCTCACCTTGGGCAGATGTCCTTATGGGGGTCCATCACCCCTAACCCCCAAATGTTGTGTGTTGAGGCTGACTGGGTTAATTTGGCTTTTCCTGCAATCACTGGGGACAGAAATACCTCCAAAAAGAGGCTGAACAAGATGAAACAACTTATCCCTAGGCAGGTACCTGTGTCTTCCCTGTCATCAGAAGTGGACACAGGAACAGAAATCTCCCATTATATGATCTTTAAGGTTGAAAAAGCCTCTAAGATCATCCAATCCAACCATTCCCCAGCACTGCCAGGTCCTCCACTAAGTCATGTTCCCAAGTGTCACATCTATATGACTTTTAAATCCCTCCAGGGATGGTGATTCCACCACTGCCCTGGGCAGCACGTTCCAGGCCTTGACAACCCTTTCGGTGAAGAAACTTTCCCTAATATCCAACCTAAACCTCCCCTGGTGCAACTTGAGGCCACTTCCTCTTGCCCTATCCCATCCTCTAACCCTGAAGGAGGTTATAAGGACCTCCAGTAAGGAGACAGCTCACCCAGAGAAAAGACACAATTCCGTGCCACAGATAAATCCATCCTGGCTGTGCCCTCCCCTGCCAGTGCAGTCTGGGATGCAGAGCCCATCCAGCCCCTTACATTCCATGAGGTCACTCCATGGGAGAACTCCCGGAGGCTGCTGGGCTCTTTTTCAGTGCCTCCCAAGTTAATTTGCATCCCAGCCACTGGACAAGTAATGAAGTAGTTTGGGGAGGAATATAAAGAGTGGCTTTTAGGCTGAGTGGGTTTATGCAGGGATGTTATCCTCTGGAGCCGGCATCCAGCAAAGCACAGCTCCATAATCCCAAACTTTCTCCAAGAGAAGCAGGGGTTTAGCTGGCTGTGACTGCTGCCTAGAGAAGGGCTTGGTGCTTCTCTGGAGGTGATTCGTAGCAATGAGGGGTTCAAACCTTGCTTGGGGATCTGGGGATGGAGGGTTACAGGGCTGGCAGAGACCTCTGGGAGGAGCAAGACTGGTCCCAGCTAACGTGGACAGGAAAATAATCTCCCTCAGGAGCAAAGTCTCTTCTAGGTTTGTGCTGTGTTGTCTCCTGGGGGGGCTCAGTTGCTTAATAAAACTGAATATAGAGGATTTCTACCTCGAAAACATCCCTCCCAAGTGAAATGCTCAGCTGGGGTGAGGTGCAGGGAGGGAGGTGCAGCGATGCAGGTGATGGGTAGGGAAGGAAGAGCTGACAGAGGGGACAAATGGTTGGATGCTCAAGGTTTCTCTTTAGAGGTGTGTGTCAGAGCTGGCTTTCTCCAGAGATAAATTTTCCTTGCTCCTTTGTAAAGCAGCACAAGCTGCTTTCCTGGCATTGCTTTGCATTTCTTTGTCTGGCTGCAAGGATGTGAAGGTCTGCAGAGAGAATGACAAGTGATGGGCTTGGGCAGGAGGTAACAACCTGCATCCCCCCCAAAATAGGTGTGCTTTGAACTCAGGGTGGAGGGTTTGGCTCAGCTCTGATTGTGTCTGTGTTTGCAAAGGAGTAAATGTGAACAGAGGAGTGAAAGGTGCTTTGGTGGCTGGTCCTGGGTGGCTTTGACCTCCCTGCACCTGAAAAAAGTGTGAAGCTCTCGGGCAGAGCTCTGGAGCCGCCAGTTTAGATGGAGCACCGCAGGTAAAGTGCTGACCTTGTCCTCTTTGGACACTGAAAGCACTTGGTCTCTGAAACTGCTGCTGACAGCAAAGCTAAAAATAGTTCCCAGAGGGCCAGGAGGGTTGGGGAAGGGAGGGAGAGCGTCTGGGAGCAGCGCACGGATGGGTCACCTCTCTGCCTCTCCCCAGGTGCTCCGTGGACAACCGAGTCACCCGAGTGGCCTGGCTGAACCGCAGCAGCATCCTCTATGCTGGCAATGACAAGTGGTGCTTGGACCCTCGGGTGGTGCTCCTGGCCAACACCAAGACCCAGTACAGCATCCAGATCCAGGATGTGGACGTGTACGATGAGGGCCCCTACACCTGCTCCGTGCAGACAGACAATCACCCCAAGACCTCGCGCGTCCACCTCATCGTGCAAGGTAAGAGCGAAGGAACTCGTGCAGGGCTTGGGCTTGGGGCTTTGGTTTGTGTTCCTTTTGCCCAGGTGTCTCCTGGCACAACTTGGTGCAAACATAGAGTCTGACAGACAGGCTTGGAGTGTCCCAGTGCAGCTGGGCAGTGCATTTATCCAACTTTCCTGGCATGATCCCAGGGCTCTGACACAGGCAGCGCTGCCTCCCGACACAGTCGCTGGCAGACCCGTGTTGCTGTTTTTGTTGTTGCATTTTGATGGTTTTTTTGTTTCCCACGCTGGAGGCATCGCTTGAAGTAGAACTTGTGCTGGGGGAAAAGAGAGAGCTGGCAGATTTGTGTGCTTTGTGGGGGTGTGTGTATGCCTAGCAACAATATGTGTTTGTGTGTTGGAATTCCATACTTTTGGGAGCAGGGGGAGAAGGAGGAAGGCCGGCACGGGGTGGTGGAGCACTTTTGGTGGCCAAGTGGGTGCATCTTCATTGAGTGTGTGAGCAGACACTGGCTCTTGAGAGGGGACAAACAAGCGTGGCCACACGTGATGGTCAAGCAGATGGATGTTGATGGAATATGGCTCCTGTCTGCATGTGGCAGGATGTGTGCTGGACAACAGGGAACCTCCTGGTGGGACAGATGGGGCCTGGTGAGCTCTTAGCCTCAGGGAAGATTAATGGAAAATTTCTAATCCCTTGCTAGCAACCTTTTTTTTTCCTGCTGCTTCTTCTGCGATTTGGCCAGGAGCCCTCTTAACATGACAGACCAGCTTGAGTATTGGAATCTCGTCTCGGGCTAATTTTCGAATGCTGATGGGTGTATTGATTTGGAAACAAGCTGGGTTAAAAAGGCATTGGTCTTGTACACAGAGTCGGGTTGAGCTAATCCGCCGTCGATATGCCAGGCCCGAGCATTATTGACAGCCTAATGAATAGAAGGGGGGAAAAAACCCGAACTCAGGGCCTTTATTTTCCCTCTTCCCTCCCTTTTCATTTTTCCTTTCCTCTTCAGGCAATCAAGCCAACTAAACAGAGCTGGACTTTCTCCATCTCCATTAACCGCGGAGGGGAAGCGGATGCATTCCCAGCCAGGGTCTGGCTGTTTATCTTGCAATCTCTTATTACCTGCCTGAGTTTCTTAAGCCAAAGTCGATCACCCACAAGTTCTGAAGTTGCTATCAGATGCTGGGGTGATGCAGGACAATTTCTATCTGTTCTCTTCTGATTCCCACTTCCTGACCTAAATTTCCCATATCACCAGACATCCAGGTCCATCCCTCCCGTGCCTTGCTGGATCATTAGGAAGAGATATTTGGGAGCTGGAGGAAAAGGTCAGAGCTTAACTCCTTGCAGTGGTACAGTTAAGTGCAGGAGGATTCAGTGATGGGCTTAGTCCTATAACATGCTGAACATCCTCATTGCTGCCAGAGAAATTCCGGCTCTGGAGAGCGAGCCCCCTAATTTGAAGAGCTATTGCTTGGCTCACCCAGCCCTTTCTGAGAGCAGGACATGAAAGTGAATATCATGTCCAATTAAAGGGAAACCTGCCTTAATAACCTCGATGCAGATTTGACTGGGGTGCCAGGATTAGCTCTCCTGCCTTGGAAAATGGGCCCTATAAATATGCATTCTGGAATAATCCTGTCCAAAACGACATTCAGCTTGTGGGAAGTGGTGCTTGTTCCCTGTCCCAGGAAAGCAGGGTGTCTAAGCACCAGATTTCAGGGATGTGCCAACTTCAGCACGTGGCTCTGGGATATTTTGCCCCTTCCTGCAACCTGATAGGAAAGGAGAAGTGGTGAGAGGAGGTGGGAAAGGGAATGTCCCCTTTTAAACAGGGTTAGTCCAGGTGCAGCCAGAAAGAGGGAGGTGTTCAGGTTGCTCTAAGCAGGTCCTGACTTTCCACTTACTGCACCAGGAAAGGCCCTGGGGGCACAGCTCTGGAGGCAGGAGCACTCCACCTCTCAGGATGCAATTAAATCATGCCCTGGGGCAGGCTGTGCTCTCCAAAGGGACTGGCTGTGGGGGACAAAGAGCTCTTCCCCTTCCAGCCAGGATTTCAGCAGGCTGCTGCTCCCCCAGGCAGGCAGGTTGGGTGCATATCAGCCAGAGTGCAGGCACCCTCAGGCCATTCCTCCTTGTCCACAGGTTTAGGGGATATCACTGGGAAACAGCCGTGGAGGGAGGGAGTGAGGAGCTCTGGGGAATCGTGTTGGCCAAGGGCTGCTGGAGGGAAGTGGTGATATGGGAGAAAGAGCAAAGAACAGGAGAGGGATAGGGGGTAGGAGAAGGAGCTTCCTTTAGGGTATGAGGGTTGGGAATAGTCCCCTAAGGCAGTGGGAGAGAATCAGCTGGAAACCCCCAGAACCAAGGGTGGCTGGACTGCTGCACACTCATTTCTAGGTTGGCTCTATCGATGGCCAGGATCCCAAAAGAGGTGGGTAGAAGGCACCTCAAGAGCTAATTTAGCCCATCCCCCTGCAACCAGGCAGAGGCATCGCTGCCAAACACTTGTGAAAGCTATTCTTGAAAATCTGTAACAAAGCAGGTTCTTCAGTGTCCCCAGACGATCTATTCTACTGCTTCGCTGGCTTTATAATTAGAAAATGTATAGCTAATATCTAACTTAAACCTTCATTGTTGCAAATGAAGTGGAATTTTTCTCAGCCTATTCCCGGCGGATTGAGGGAACAATTGATCAGTGTCCTCTGTAATAACCTTTTGCTTTTGGGAAGGTTGTTATCCTGTAGCCACCTTCTTTCTGAAACCATCCAAGCTCTGTTTCTCCCACCTTTCCTCATCGGTCAGGCTTTCAGAAACACTTGTCAGTCTTGAAATCCTGGTACAAAAGGGAAGAGGTGATTGCTGCTGATCCAGGAATAGCAGGTCGGTGCCTCTGTGCTAATGTGGGACAAATGAGCCCAGGAATGAGACAACAGACCCTTGGCACTGAATGCATCAAAGTTCAGACCTGCTATTTTAAGGACTGCTCTAAATGGGGTCAGGCTGGTGGTGCCAAGTTGATGTGAGCCAACAACAGAGCTGCCAAAGGGGCAAGAAGGTTCTTAGCACCTGGATCTTCTCTCCCAGATCCCAGACAGACCTAAAATGAGCAGCTCAGGGAGCATCTGTGTTATCAGCAGGGTCTGGAAGGTGGTCCCACTCCTTCAGCACTCATTCCTTCTCAGGAGGAGTTGCCATAAGACCAGTCAAAGCACGGGGAAGCAGCACTGCTCGTGTTTGCAGGAGTCTACCTTGGACCCTGTGGAGAGTGAGGCGTTTGTGGATGTAAATCCCAAAGAGACAAAATCCAGGGAAGCCCCACTTGCAATAGAGAAGCTCTGAACTTGGACAGAGGCAGAAACCCAGAGTGAGAAATAGGGTTGAGGCCCCATTGACCTCCGAGGAGTGATGCTTTCTCTTCCTCTCCTCTCTTGCATCCCACTCTGGTCTCCTTAGCGAGTCCCACTTCTTGCAGCAGCTCAGGCACAGCCTCCCCCTTCTCCCTGCTCCCCGCAGGACACCTCAGCTATTTAAGCCATTCTCCGGGTTCCTGGGCTTAAAAGAGAGAGGGGAGGGAGGAGGAGAAGGCCGATATCTGGAAAGCTCTTATTTGTATTGATAATAAGCCGTCTCCAGTGTGTGTCTGCAAAACACTCCCACTGCCTTGTAAGATGCATTAAGGGAAGTTGGCCTTATCTCAGCGCGGGAAATGGACTTGGGGAAGGAGGCACAGCGCCTGCCAGAGTTTAATCTCACTTAGGCACACGAATTTGCATGATAGAAAATGGTGGAATTTTAGTGCTTAAAAAGAAAGAAAGAAGGAGGAAAAAAAAGAGGCAAAAAGCAGGCAACTGGGGGATATTAGTGCTTTCCTGCTTCCTTATCAGTTTCCCTGGCCCTATCTGGCTCTTGCTGTTGTCACTGAAGCAACTAATCACCCCTCCCCTTTTGTTTGGTGTAAATGAGTTTTCCCACTCTTTCCCGAGCCCAGGTTAATCTTCAAATCCCTGCCTTTGTCTGGGAGTTAATTACCTGCTCGGCAGAGTCCGGGGGCTCTGGGCATGGGTGGCAGAGGGTGGCAGGGGCAGAGGTGGCATTGTGGGTGGCACCTCTCCCTGTGCTGGGATCACCACTGCCAGGGTGTGTGTCGGTGAGATAAAGGCAGCAGTGGGGCTGCAGCACCTGAGCCGGCTTTGTTTCAACCACCAAACTCTGCCCAATTAATTTTCCTTTGATGCCACAAGCCCCCTTCACTTGTGGGATGACAAGGAGAACTTTTTGCATCCGTTTTCCTGCCTTGGTGCAGGGGAAGCACCTTCCCTGTGAGCAGAGCGGCTCAGAGGGAGGAAGGCTCAGTCCCTGCAGTCACCATCATCTTACCTGTGGGGCTGAGCCTGTCCCCTGTGCCTCCAAAGCCACTGGTTCTGGGAAGGAGGAGGGGCAAAGGGCTTTGCCCACTGGTGGCAGAGGACGTGCAGGCGTTGGTCACCTATGAAGCCATGAGCTGGAGTTCCACACTGGGCAGGATGCTCCCCTTGCTTTACTGCTCTGTCCACACCTTTTCCCCCGTGGGAGCAACTGTTCCTTCCAGAAGCAAACGTAGGTTTAGATAATTCCTTCTCGAAGGCACATAGGGAGCTGGGAGAGCCTCCCCGAACCGGCAGAGTGGAGGAAACCGGCGGCATGAAATGGAAATGGAAATGGAAATCCTCCCTCCCTTCGCCTGCGCTCGAGGCTCCTTTGACTGATGTGCTCCTTCCCGGCTCTCTTTTGTTGCTAATCACCGTCCCTCTGTCAAAGCATCTTTTCCTTTTGTATCAGGGCTGTTGTGGAGGACTGAAGGTCTCCCACGCTCTCTCACGCACTGCCCTAGTTTTTGGCTCTTTATACCCGTTTTGCTCAGCCCCCGCCAGCATCTCTGCGTGTCCCACATCCTTTACTGCCCCTGGATCTCCCCATCTTCCCCCCGAGGTTACCAGCCCTTGCTTCTCCATGGTGTGCTTGTCCATGTT